GGGGGTGGAGAGAGTAGAGAGTTGAAGGTGGAGAAGAGTCGGCGAGGAATGGAGGAGAGGGCCTTGATGAGGGTCAGGAAGTAGGCTTGTTTGGCTGCGTGGAGGGAGGAGGTGTAGGTGTGGAAGGCAGATTTGTAGCGGGTGAAGGCTTGTTGGGATTTGGTTTTGCCCCATAGTCGCTCCAGGGCACGACTGCCGTTTGAGGGATTTGATGTGATTAGTCTGCCAGAGCTGGAGCGGTCGGGGTCTGATGTTGCGTGTGGTTAAAGGAGCTAGTGAGTCAAGGGCTGTTGACAGCGCGTTGTTATAGGCAGTCATAGCCAAGTCGGGGCAGGACAGGGGAAGGATGCTGTCAGAGTTGATCAGCTGCAGAGTGGAGGGGGGCAGGGTTAAGGTTGCGGAGGTTACGGCTGGTAGTAGTGTGACACATTTGGAGGGGTAGGCGTTGGAGAACGAGGAGATAGAGAAGGTAATCAGGTTGTGGTCAGAGAGAGGAAGGGGGTGTTAGTGAGGTTGTGGGGAGCGCAGCGGTTGGAGAAGACGAGATCAAGGATATATTACCGTCGGAGTGGGTGGTGGATTGTATGCACTGTGCAAGTGCAAAGGAGGAGGTTAAGTGGAGGAGATGGTATGTGGCCGGGTTGTTGAGGTTGACAGGGATGTTGAAATCCCCAAGGATGATGGTGGGTAGCTCAGAGGAGAGGAAGAACGGTAGCCAGGAGGAAAAGTCATCCAGGAAGCGGGATATGGATCCAGGAGGCCGGTATATCACAGCAATCTTCAGGGGGGTTGGGAGACTAGTCGGACGCAGTGGGCCTCGAAGGAGGAGAAGGATAGAGAGGGTGGGTTTGGGAGGACTCGGAAGGTGCTCTGTGGTGACAGGAGCAGACCAACCCCACCACCTTTGGGTCTGGGTGAGTGGGTCCAGGTGACCCACGCGAGGTAAATAGAGGAATTCTCCCCGCTGTGTTATTGTATTCTGACAGCAGTCAAATTTTCAACAAGCCTATTTGTGAGAAATTGATCATTAGATCGACTTCTCGCTGACAAGAATAGACATGGAAATTCAGCTGGTCTCTGATGAGCCTGAAGAATTTTGATCAATCTATGCTCAACTTCAGCTTAGTACTAGAAGTACTGCTGGATAACAATCTTACTATTGCTACTGTAAGGATTCTTACTGTGGAACAAATCAATCCAATACCAGTGTTTACTTCTGCAGATCTAATATCCCAGGTGGTGGCAGTTTCATCAAGCCTTTGTTGGGGAATCTTTTGTTAGTAATTAAATGTGGAAGATATGCAGTGTGTTCCCTAGAGTAAAAGACTGAATACAACAGCTTATTAGAGCCATAGTGAGGATGTTGTTCTTTTACTTTTCTTTGCAGTCCCTATTTAATCCAAGTTATAACCTGAAACAGACATGGTTTCCTGGAAGCTTGTAAACGATCTAAGCCAAGCATTTTACCAAAGGATGGAGCAAAATGCACCTATCTATACTTTACAATACATTACCTTGGATGTAGATATAACAATAAATAAAAGATCTGTAGATATAATAAGAGCTTTAAATGAAATAAATAGTTTGGCATACTTATGTATTTTACACCCAGAGTGGATAATTCTGAAAAACCCTTCTGCTTTCTATGACAAAACTATATTTATCAGAATAACAGTAATTTTAATATCAACAAAGCTGAAAGTTAACCTTAAATCCCACCCCCACACTAACATGCTAATTAAATTTTTAAATACTTTTTTTTATTCCATACCTTATTTTAGGCTCAGTGATATTATCACTGGGTCTTTACGAATGTCTGTGCAATGCTGACAGGTCGTGACTGCTTAGAGGGGCCAGCAAGGTACAGTACTCTACCTCAGTACTCTACCTCAGTACTCCTCAAAACAGTCCTCAGCCCTGAGGACATCTTTAATGGGTGGATATCATTCTGGAGGAGTAACAAAATTGGAAATTGAAGTGCCACACCACTGCTAAGAGACCCATATAAAACTATCCAAAAAAGAAAAAAAAAAAAAAAGTTAGGGGGACACTCCAAAGGACAACTCACTTCAGTGTTCCAAAAACACCCCTTTCACCTGGCTATAAAAAGCCCTAGCCCTGATGAAGGGGGTGTTATTGGACTCCTAGAATGCACTGGCTACTTTTTGGATTTTCCCCCTGACTTTTAGTGGATTAAAGTTGTATTTAGACCTCTTAGCAGTGGTGTGGCATTTCAGTTTCCATTATTGTTACATTACACTACAAGCAAAAAGACCGTGGTTCTCCTCTGAGGGGCAGAAGCTGCTTGCTCGGGAACCAGATTATTTACATCAACATCAATACTTTATAAGAGCATTACCAATAAGACAACCCTTACAGGTCCAGTGATAGTTTTCCACTTTATTCAGCTATGCTGGGGGAGCATGCATTACTGACCAAACTGCATGCGGATCACCCTAGGCAATGTCCACACATGATGCTGAGCTACCAAGATCAAAAGAATTGAAAATCAATGAATGAAAGGGGTGGGCAAGGAACAGTCAAACTGGGGAAGAAGAGACTAAATGTTGATGATGTTCTCCAGCCAGGAAATGAGGAGGACTCTGTCAGACACACCATAGCTTCTAATGCACACTGTAAGCAACTCACAAATGTTCAGAGAGATCTGAGTAAGCAATTTTGGTACAAGGGAAGAGCCTGTACAAATGTGAAGATAAGGGTTGGGGTTGAACACGAAAGGAAACTCATAATAAAATAAATACCAATGTAGTGTGCTTTAACAATGTCAGTGGAGAAGGTCTCTGATACATTTCTCGTCAGTGGAAAAGGGTCCCAGGGTGGTCAGTAGAGAAGGACTTCCTTATGTTGGTCAGTGGAAATAACAAAGGGTTATAATGGTGTTCAGTGTAGTGTCCCCTTGCTTTGATAGTTGCAATGTAATGACTGTTACTTCATATTGGGAGCCAGTAGAAAGAAAAGCCCATTATATCTGAAGTCTGTGTTTTTATTCAAAATATTTTTTTGTTTTGTGTGTGTTGATGTGGAAATCCCTCCCGCAACACTATTGTGTTCTGCCGGCAAGCAGCCTTTAAAATTTTCTTAAAGAGCCATTGTTGCCAGCCCATTTATTTCATCAACAATTTTCCCATAAGATCACATGTGCCATTTAACATTTTATGCATGTTATTTACCTATAATGGCCTCCTTTGTATAGACAGCTAAAAGCCTGAAGACTGCTGTTGGGGACCACCATCTTGGATGTGCTGTCAGCAGCCTCAGCAGACTAAACGTGTTTCTCAACTGATATTCTAAAGCATTCTTTCTTCGCTCCTCCCCTAGCACCAATATAAGGTAATGAAAGGGAGGAACAAAGAAACTGGGTCAACACAGAGTTATTTGATGACCCAAGACAAGGATAGGGGCTGTAACATGCAATGAGAAAGTGGGTTGTGTTAAAAAAGTAACCCTGAATCGGACTACATTTTGTATCAGTAAACAAAAAAAAAAAAGATCAAAACAAAAAAAAGGAGGTATATGGAAAAATGCTGCATGTAATAAATATGTGATTTTGGGAGGCATTTAGGTCACACGATTTTCTAAGCTACTCTAGGATGACCAAAGCAAAGCAAAAAATATGTGTGTACAATGAGTAGTGGGGTAAAGGCAATCAAAGCCTGTAGGTGGAGACCAGTCTCACAGAATATAAAAAGGAACCTATACTGACTGCACTTTTTGGGCTGGTATTTCTGATCTCTTTTACAAAACTGCCTTAGGCTAGGTTTACACCTATGCAGTTTGCGTTTAATCCGTTTCTACATTGCATTTTGCATTTCTGCACTTGCGTTTTTGATGTGTTTGTTTTTCTTCTTGCTAGGCAGATTTAAAACACAAAAAGCATCAAAAATGCATCAAAAATTCACTACATCCTTTTCTTCAGTGTTTCTATTGAAGTCTACAGAACCAAACTTTTTGAGTTAAAAAAAGTCCCTGATCCTTTCCAAAAAAAAAATAAAAAATGCGGAGATGTGAATGTGTACCATAGAAAATAATGTGAAATAGACTGTAGTGCGTATCTGCAAAATGCTGTGGAAAACGCTTAGGTGTGAACCTAGGGTCACTCTAGGTTCAATACTTTGAGTCAAGGTCCCAGAACAAGCTTCCAGCCAATGAAGCTAGAACTCCTGGTCTGCATATTTCATATCAAGAGCCCAAAGTATTAGTGTCAATTTAAAATCTATATAGTCTGTTCCAAAGTGTGTTAACATGAGTTGCATTAAGGCAGCCCATTTATTATGAATAGGAACATCAACAAACCAATTAATAGAAATAAGCCTTTTTTTTTTTTTACACTCAGGATGCACCTCATAATGCATGGTCAAAGGTTTTTCTATCTATGATAGAAATATGCTAACAGACCTCAAAGACAGATAGTCCAGGGGCAAGTGACACAGTTGCTGTCTAGTGGTACTAGAGCAGGCACTGTAGGCTGCAGTGACCAAGTAGCAATGTCAGACCACTTGTACCCCCTTCACTGCCCTAGCCTTTCCCAGCTTATTAAATGTTCTAAATGAAAGAAAACAATTCCAGAGCAAGTACAAACATCGTGCTGTAGCAAAAAGGGGATCAAATCTGTTCCCTCTGATGCCCCAGCCACTGAAAGAATGCATCCTGGCTGTGGTAGGGCACTCTACTTTTCGTCTTCTGTGTGCAGAAACAAAAGGTATTCACAACACATTTTAGTAAAATAACAGCTGTAGTTCACGGTACAATGGAGGATCTACTTTGAGGAGAGTTTTTCTCTGTACAGTGAAACTGGACTTTAGCTTTAAGTGGTCAGTGAAACTAAAATGTGTCTGCAGACAACAAAGGACAATTAGCATTTGCTTGTAGCCTGAGGGTAGTCCTTTAAATATAAAAATGCTCCAAAAAAGATTTGTGACCAGTATGCATTCAGTGAACCTATATATAACCCAAAATACACTAAAATGTCCAATACGCACCTTGTAGGTGTTCAAACTCCATCTTCTTACAAGCTCAAATTTTTCAATAGCTGTACTTCTTGGTTCCTCTGAAAGGACAACAGGGCCACTTCTCTGTTCTGCTCTTTGTATATCACCTACAGAAACAAGAACAAAATGTAACTTAAATATGAAAAACAAACTAAGCAGACTTCTTTTAATGGATTTCCAGTAGCATCATTTGCAACGATAGTACTGTATTTCTTTACGAGTGAGCTACAGAGAAAGATATTTGGAAGACAATTATCCATATAACAGCCAATAAGAAAAATGGATAAGCAAGCAACAGTTAAGCATGAAGTCCAATAAATTACTACTGACGTACACTGGCAGTATTTTCTCAAACAACATCACCCTGGTCAATTCAATAAACAGATATTTAGCAAATACTCTGTAGGTGAACTGAAAATAAAAGAAGCGCAAAGAAGACCTTACTAACGTAAACTGAAATTTGATTTGATGCTCTGTGATTCCATGAGTAACACCAACCTGAAATATTTTTGTGAAAAAAACAACAGCCAACTTATTTTGTTGTGAAATTCTTGGCACATAAAACAAGCAATAAAATATCAACTGCTACAGTTTCTGTGGGCGACAAAAAAATGAAACATAAAATGTAACATTTAGTTTTGTAAACAAAACTACATGCACATTGAAATTAAACAAAATAAAAAAATTTTAGAAGTAAAGACAGCAGGACACACAACTTGCTCCTTTTGCAGTGACAGTGCTTTGCAATGCAAGACCATAGACAACAATGGATTCACTTGTTAGTGCTAGGTGAACATGCCTGCTTATTGGAGACAGATTAGGTTTAAACCTAGTCTGCGATTTGATAAAGACAGAAAAAATGCCTAGAGACGTGTAAGTGTACAGACCAATAAAGCCTCATGCGCGTCTGTTTAAGCCCCTCTGAACATCAAATGCACTAAACCTCTTCAATGTAGTCATTGGAATGGATTTTACGCTCAAACGCTAGACGCATTTCCAAAAGTAGCTCAGATGGGTGTTAGTCGTGGAATCACACAATCCCACCATCGACAGAAAAAAAGACAACACTGTCAAAATGAGTGACTTCTGACAAAGAGGGGTGACCAGCCACACACTCAACAAAATCTAGCTTGTCACAATCCAAAATGCGTGCACAATTTGCTAATTCATTTGAGACCCTGAAGGGAATCATCCTGGATAACCATTTTTTTCGGCCTGTATTCCTACCTTTATCTATACTCTCATGCATTTTCATCTGGTTCGGCCCCTGTGCAGGCAAATTGCTTATTACTTATCCTTAAATTTAATAAAAATAATAAAAACAAAATCTAGATGGTCTCTGATGACTTTCGATCAGTCTATGGACAGTTTTAGACCTAAACTCTGGAAGCTGTGGCCACAAAGAAACTGTGGGAAAAAGACTAAGTCAAAGGTATTGTCTGTGGGCTCCCTGCAGTTGAGCTTTTCCCCATTAATGACTTGCCATGTCTTGTTTTGCTATTGTTTTTTTTGTGTGGGAGTGGTAAAAGAATTGCAGTTTTAGGGGTCAGTGAAGATTTCTCTTTAGCAAGCAGCAAAGTAGTGACCATATTGTCAAAGGCACTCCTGTACTATAAGCACAGACGTTTCTTTGATACCAGTGCATGCACTGCTCTTTTCCAGGACGAATTTAAGAGGAAAAAAAAAAAGGATGTACCCTAGAACATATTAAATAATAATTTTTGAGTTCAGGTCCACTTTAATTTGTAAGTTGCTACAAAATTACACTACTGCATCAATAGGGAAGAAAAAACAAAGCAGAACTCCAGGCAAATTTTTTCCCTCCTATGCAGTGGGGCTGTGACCAGTCTTGCACTGGGAGGATCTGCGGATTAGGCAAGTATATCTTGGCTCTCCCATACCTAGAGAAAAAAGAGCAGTTGACTCATGCAATGGAGGCACAACCGCCACTGAATGGGACAAAAGGTTTTCCCTGGAGTTCTTGTTTAAGAAATGTTTCCTTCTGCCTACAGCAGACTGAATTCATCATCTCAGCCTTGACAAAGTCTATTGACTGGAGTTCAAGTGGCTGCTATCTAATAATAATCATTCTTAGTTATATTGCTGTATATTGTGATGTCTGGAATTTTTTCATGCAGACTTGTAACATTACTGAAAGATCCTTTTAAAAGTGCATGCTATAGGGACTGACCATGATCCTGACATTTATTCCCAATGAGCTGCTAACCTGGTACAAGTATTCAACCAATGAAATCTAAAAAGTGTGAGATTTTACCTGCATACTTGTTTGAAGCCAGCATCCTACGGGTTACTGGAACAAAACTAGGAGGACCATTTGAGCAGAAATGGCAGGTGCAGCCTCCATACTTAACAGAACAAAACCAGGTTTTGTCAATTTTGGCATATCTCATACTAGAATATTGGTAAATGTTTAAATGTTATACAGAGTGGGACAAGGGATAGGGGTGAGAGGAGAGAGATCTACCCCAGGGCACGACGTGATGTGGAGGGGGAGTGCTGAGACCTGGGGGGATTCTGCCCGCTCATTCCTCCATCAGCAGCCTAGTGTGGGTAGAAGAGCAGGCAGGACAGGCGCCCAGTGAACACACCTTCTCAACAGAAGGGAAGAAGCTGCCTTCACTCATGGGCAGGTGCCATGCTTTGAAGGTGAAAGTACACAGAGGTGGGGGGAGGTGGGGAGGAAGTTAGCCCCAGAGCTCGCTGCTTCTTCTCAAAGCCACCCTACCTCCCTCAGGGCTAATTTTTCACTTGCGTTTGGGGGCAGTAAAAACCTGTAGTTAAGCTGGGTTAAACCAGGCCCACAATCACTCCTCCTTAAGCTGCAAAGACAGCAGATAGGGGTATTTGCATGACATGGCACAAATAAAAACCCCATCGCATTTGGCAGGAAGTAACGTCTAGTGAACAGAACCTATTTAGGAAATGAGGCCATGCTGCAAGTGTGATGTTGCAGGCATTTAGGAGTTAAAAACAGGCAGTGAGGAGGCAACATGCCGTCTCCTCATGGTTCGGTTCCTCAAATGCACTCTAAAAAAGTAATTCACCATGGATCACTGTCTAGAGTAGTCCCCGCCTTGCCAACTCCCCTCTCCTTTCATACCACAACCATCCATACCAAGCCCTTCGGGTCAGGTATGGATTTTGAGGAGAACTCCCATGCCAAAAAAAAAAAAAAATTAAAAAATTAAAAATGGCGTTATGCACTGCCCACTTTCGGGAAATTAAAGCTTAAAATTAATTAGTGACTTCTGTGTATTTAAGCACGGGCTCATATCTTCAGAGAGATTAGATTGTATTGTATTTTAGTGCCTTTAAACGCTCGGTCAAGCTCATTGCCAATCTGTATGCAATTGCACGGTGTGTGGGCAGATTGTAAAAGGTAACAGATCGGCCAGACGGAGATCTGTGTGTGTGTGGTGTCCCAGCAGACCGTTATGCGGATAAACTGTTGGGTGGTGGCACGCTACCTTTTGTGGTGTGTCTGGTGTGGGGGTGTGTGGACAGTGGAAGAGTGATTAACACTGGGGTTCTGGCTTGTAGGATAGTGAGAGGGACTCTATAAGGGTGTGTAATTGCTAAGCTGGTCCTCAACTCTAATCATTGCACCAGATTGTATGTAAGATTTGTATCTACCAGTGTGTGTGTGGTCGACCAGCTGGATTGGAGTGGAGTCTCCCTCTGGTGGTGGCCAAATGGTAGTGCAGGCTGTGAAAGGATATCACGGCTGATCTTATACACGGTTTTATATATTCAAAGTTAAGTCCCCTTTATTCCCTCTTACCCCCTCTCACAGCCGCACGTGCGCGCCTCGGTTAGCTAGTCGTTGTGGGCGTGGCGTGTGGGGGGGATCCGTGACAACCCCCCCCCCCGCCCCAAAGCACCCCCCCATGTTGAGGGCATTTGGCCTGGTATGGTTCAGGAGGAGGGGGCGCTCGCTTGTCTTCCCTCCCTTTCCTGACCTGCCAGGCTGCATGCTCGGATGAGGGTCCAATATGGATTGGGGGGGGGGGCATGCTATTTTTTTTTTTAATTTTGGTGTGGGAGTTCCCCTCAAAATCCATACCAGACCCGAACGGCTTGGTATGGATAGGAGGGGGGACCCCACTCCGTTTTTTAAAATTATTTTTGTAATTGCCGGCAATTTCTTTACATTCAGCTGTCAGTGGGGAACCCCGCTGACAGCTGAAACATTAACTCATGGTTGTCACTACTAAAATACCGCATGACTAGTAGCGTTTACTTTTTTCTGACCTCCGGAATGTATTAATTGGTTTTCAATGCATTCCTATGGGAAACGGCGTTTCGGTTTACGAATTTTTCGCTGTACAAAAAGTCCTGCAGAATGAATTAGATTCATGAACCGAGGTATTACTGTATAAAGATCACAGTGCATTTTCAACAGCTTAGAGCACTTGTGATGGAAACAGATTGACTGGCTGCTACTGATTTCTACACAACATTGCACTTTGCCAAACAAGTGCGTTGTCAGACACTTTAAATAAACATATTGTGTGCACATTTTGAATACAGGGTGATGTTGTTTTTGAACAAGGAGAAAGGTTAACGTGTTTTTGAGTTAATTGGCAGTGATTAATTCTCAGCAGGGCAGGAATAAAGCACACTCCTATGATTCAGAGATAATCAGGAAATAATAAGGAAAAATAAGGAGGTTAGTGCAGCACCAGCAGTTCCTGGGGAGTAATCCTGCATCTGCAATACCTGACGGAGCAATTAAATCATCTCCTTGTCCAGCCAGTCTGCTAGCTGCTGTGCTGCTAGGGGAAATTACTGGAGACCTGGGTGTGGAGAAGGAACCTACAAAGAGTATATATTGCACAAACATTAAAATATGAATACAAACACTAGGAAACTATTAGGGGAGAGTTAGACAAGAAGGTTATAGAATAAATTGACACTTCAGATGAATATGCAAACAAAGGATATAGTTTCATTAGAGTTGTAGGATGAGGTGTAAGCTCCAGGATTTCCCAAACAAATGTTAAATTATGAACACATCTATTGCAGGGACGGATTAAGATGCCTCTTCACCTGAACACCATGGCATCTGGCAGCAGCTCCACCACATGTTGAAGAATATACATAGCTGAAACATTCTGTTTCAGTAGGCAGGGTACACAATTTAAAATCCAACACTCATATTCAGCATGTACAAAGATAAACGTTAAAGAAAACCTTTGCCAAGGGAAAAAGAACGGCTGCCATTGCTAGTCTCCTTAGAAATGCCTGCCAGTTATACTTGCCTATTGATTTCACAACCATCTGAGGTTCTGAGATGTAACAAGTATACAAGACAAGGGAAAGCAGAAGTCCTTATGTGCATAGAAGTTCTGTGGTACAAATGCAAACATATTGAAACCAAGAAGTCAGTATGATAACCAGTATACCAGAACTAACAGACTTTTAAATAAACCAATACTTTTTTTTTTGTTTTGGATAGAGTTTGAGAGGGATTAGAATGCTTGTCAGTTTTTATTGCGGGCTCTGCTGCCAGTAAGGAGATTCACCCTCTATATTTCTCCCGTCTACCATTATTACTGAAAGTGAAAGTAAAAGAAAATCCCACATTTTGGGTTGTCCCCAGAAACATAATCGTGGGGAAAGCTTCCAATGGGGACACTAGTTCTGGTAACCTGGGGGGTCCCCAAAGAATTCCCTTATTTTTCAGGTATTTCCTCTCACTTCCTGTTTGGCTATAGGACAGGCAGTGAAGATAAATCTCTGCAATGGGATACACATGGCAAAAAAAAAAAAAAATCTGACAGGGGTTATAACCCTCCCTTGCTCTATCCGAAATTAAAAAAAAAATTGGACTTTCTACATTCTTACCTGTAAAATCAATGCCATACATCATGGGACAGAGAGCAGGCTGTTCATGACTATGTAGGTTATATACCACCTATAGGTGAATGGACACGTGCAGATCAAACAGGAATATATAACCCCTCCAACACAGTAAGTAATTCAGTTTTTGTAGCAAGCAATGAAATTGCAGAAAGCGGGGAGGGACCTCTGTATCCCGTGATGTACTCTAAGAAATGGACTTTATAGGTAAGTATGTAGAAAAAAATCCAATTTTCTCTATTGCACATCATGGGACACAGAGCAGGCTATTCATGACTATGTGGGATGTCCTAATGCAATAAAAAACTCTAAGGGGCTGGTGGCACCATAACCACCTCCATCCCAAAAGTCCTACTCAGCTATACTTGACACGCTGCGGCTAAAAGGCATAGTCCTCCGCGGCTCTGACGTCCACCTGATAAAACCTTGTGAATGTATGAACCGATGACCAAGTGGCAGCCTTAAAACCTGAGTGTCACGGGTCCCCGCACACGCTACGCCCACAGCGACTAGCTAACCGAGGAGCGCATGTGCAGCCGTGACTTGGGGTAAGAGGGAATAAAGGGGACTTAACTTTGAATATATAAAACCGAAAATAAGATCAGCTGTGATACTTTCACAGACCGCACTACCTCTGCCCACCACCGGAGGGAGACTCCACTCCCATCCAGCTGGCTGACCACACACAGACAGATATGATCTTACATACAATCTTACAATCTGGTAATATAATCTCTCCAATCTAATCTCTCCGAAGATATGAGCCCGTGCTTAAATACACAGAAGTCACTAATTAATTTTAAGATTTAATATCCCGAAAATGGGCAGTGCATAAAATATGTACAAAATATAAAAAGTTACAGAAATACAAAAAATACAAGAAGACACACAAATGACTATTCACTATAAAAGAGAATAAAAGACAGAAGTAATACTTTACTGAGATTTACCCTGCGACTGGAGCAAGTCAGAAAAGTCCGTAATCCGTTAGACCATCGACCAGCTCCATACGAAATACCATGTCCCAATGCCCGGGTACTCAATTTATGGGGACATGGACGTAGGCGGGACATTAGTTCTTGGCCAATTGACCCTGGGTGTCCTGTACCTGCCCACAGAATGTTCTGGGTGCTGACCTGCCCAAATTCAATCGGACCAAGACCGGCTTGAAACACCAAGTCAGGGATTGGATTTTCGACACCAGCGCATCAGCCCGATCACAACCGTACCAACTGTCGACTGTCGCAATCCAGCGCCACCTAACCATTTCCTGCATTTTCCTGGCCTTCTACCTAAGTCACAAATATGATTTTTATATGTTGGTGTGACCCACAGCGTGCCCAAACAGAAGGGAGTATTTTCATCTCTCTGCAATATTTTAGCTTTTATGAGAGATGAAACATACCCCTTTGATGTATAAATATTCTTTTAGCTCCCCAGACAGATCGGAGACCCCCTGCTGTCATGAAGCCAAAATGTCTGTGTTTCTCTTTTCAGCTTCAGGAAGGTGGCCAAGTCTGATTAGGTATAGGTGACAAAATCTTATTAGCACCAAGGTGCTAATTGATGAGCTAATTGATGACTGTCTGAGTACCTATGACTGAATATTTCTTTAATAACCAGGAATGAGCTAAATTTACATTGTCATATTCTCTACAGGTCACATCTTATCTACTCAAATCTGTACATTCAAGTCACATTTCTGTCACACTGAGCAATGGACGCCTGATTGCGGATAGCTCAAGATGCCCCCACACTCCTAGTAAAGTGCGCTCTACCTGAAAAGGTGGGACCTTATCTTTCAAACCATAGGCATGAATGATCAACTATCAGATCCAATGAGAAATAGATGACCTGGATGCCACCTGCTCCTCCGGCAACACAGTCCAGGATTCCTGATCTGTGCAGCCAAACTCATGTAAATCCTGACCACCTGAACTACATTCAGAGTACACAGCGATCTTTCCCCTCCTGACTGTGGATTAGTAAAAAAGAAAGGAAAAACATTGTCCTGAATGAAATGAAAATTAGAAACCACTCTAGGCAAGAATATGGATGAGGACGCAACATCACCTTATGATGTAAGATCAAGTACAGCTCCTTACATGAAAGGGTCATCAGCTCTGGCACCATTTCTGCTGAAGTGATAGCATCCAAAGAAGCCACTTTCCGAGTCAAAGGATTATGTTTCTTGAATTGGTTCAAAATGTGGCTTCTGCAAGGACAGCCAAGACCAAATTCAAGTTCCAAGGACACAAAGGCAGCTTGACAGGTGGGATTGTGCGCATTACACTCTGCACGAAGTACGAAGGTCAATTTGATTTCTCGCCCTTTCAATCACACATTTCCACGGGTGCCACTTTCTAGCTTCCAGGTCCTGCGATGGAAGATTTCCAGGTTCTGTAATGGAAGCTCCCTGAAGCCGGCTCCCTGGCGCTCAACAGTCCGGAGAAAATAGGAACCAAGACCCCCTGATCTTTCCAGACCTGGGCATAAATAGCTAAGCCTTCAATCCTAACAACCGTAAAGCAGGATACGTTATTGGACCCAAGACAATAGGTCCGGGCGGACCAAAAGAGTCAAAGGAGCATCCCCCTGCCAGAGATACACTATAGGCTGGGCTACCACAAGAATCAGTGTTGCCTCCTCCTGAATCCTGAGCAAAATACATGGCAATAGTTGAATTGGAGGAAGGCATAGATTAGGGGGAAAAGGTCCCTAAGGTGTTACCCATGCATTTACCCGTATTGCCAGTGGTACTTTCATCCTGGACACAACCTGTCTAACTTGTTGTAAAACCTGGAAGTCAGCAGATCCACATTCCGAGTTCCCAAACACTGCTAGATTGCCAAGAATGTCTCAGGATGCAGGGACCACCTCTCTTGGTATTAGCCGCTGACCTCTGGGGAAAAAAGCCCCCTGCCAGTTTTCTATACCTAGAATATGTACTGTCTACAGAGATGGCACATGCTGTTCTGCCCCAGACAGAATGTGGTTAACCTTTTCCTGAACTGCATGGCTCCTGGTGCTGCCCTGGTGGTTGATATACACCACTGTTGCACTTTCGGTCCAAACCCTGACTACAAACCTGTGCAACTGGTTCGTCCAATAATCCAGAGCAAGGCACACTGCCCAAAGTTCCAAGATATTGATAGGCAGTATTCTCTCCTATGGAGACCAAGTCCCCTGAACTGTAGCCACCTCTATGCAAGCTCCCCAAAATGGAGAGACGGGCATCGGTGGTTACTATCTTCCATGCCACTGGAAAGAAAATTACCCCTTCCCCTTCTCTAGATTTCGAACAATCAACCACCAATTTGGACTCTGCAATACCCCAGGGACAAAGCCCTCCAGCAATCCAATATTTGGACCTACATGATTCAGACAGACAGAAGGTTCCTCTACAAAAGATCTGGAGTGGAAACCGCTCCAACGTAAATATCACCAGTCGAATGTCTTACAATATTGAGCCCATAACTTCTGCTCAAAACGAAAGTGCCAATCAAAAGCCTGATAACTCTGCAGTGAACCCAGAAGGTACCAAGAGGCGTACTTAACCAATTACGTTTCTACCACTAAAGATTAAGTGAACCACCTGCCCTATTACCCTTTGGCCCGAGATAGTACCCAAAATATAGCAGCCTCAGACATTGGAGGGGAAAAGTTTACAGCTTACAGCACCTGGTATTCCCAGGCAGTCTCCCATCCCAGTACTAACCAGGCTTGACCCTGCTTAGCTTTAGAGTTCAGAGGAGATCATGCATATTCAGTGTGATGAACCGGCAGTCCATTGCAGCTCCGAAACCAGGAATAGCTGCAATGCCAGACAAACGCAGTGGCCCAGACAAACCTGACACCACTGGTCTATCAGGAAATAGGAACACTGCCAATTACCCCGAATCCACTGGACCTGAGGGCCGTGCACCTGCCTCCCTCTTCTGGGACTCTTTAAATCATAGAACAGGAAAATAATGTAAAAACAATATTTGCCAAAACCTAACTATGCAGTCTCACATAGATGCAGGTCTATAGCCATGGTGGTCTACAGCTATGCAATCACAAAGGTATGCAAGCGTGCAGATATGCAGTTATGCGGGTATACACAAGTATGCATTTATGCAGTTCACACAAGTATGCATGTAAGTATACATGTAAGTATACAGTTTATGTAAGTAGGCAATTGAATGCAAATATTCAGTTCAATGCAAGCATAAGTATGCAGTTTATGCAAGTGTTCAGCTACACAAGTATGCAGTTGTACAATACTACAGGTATGAATGCAATAATGTAATACTATACTGCACCTGCCCCGCTCCAATTTCTAGAAGCGTATTGTTTCAGTGAACTGTCAAAATTAACTGCACTTGGCCAACACTAGTTTTGCAGGACTAGTCAAGCACAGTTGCATCAAACTCAGCCTAAATGCAGCTTCAGTGCAGTCTAAATGTAAGCTCCTGCAGATCAAATGCAAGCTACTCTGGAGACCCAACTCCTGTACCCATGCAGGGGTGTATCACAAAATATTTTTACAAGCCCCCTGGGATTATGAGACTAATGCTGGGTATAATTGTGTCCTGTCTGGTAATGCATCTGCCCCACAGGTAGTACTCACACGTCATAATCAAGTCATAGATTGCTCCATGTCATGTATCTCAGGAGCCTCACTGATGCTTCAGCCCACATGCGACTTCAACCATAGGCAAAATGGCCACCCCTCCAGTTCCTGCCTTCACAGCACAAGAGTAGACTATACAAAGCGGCCCAGTGCCCTCTAGTGGCTGGAGGAGAAAACTGCAGCCCAATATTCTTTCTAAAACGCACAGAGCACGGCCAGACCAGACCAGACCAAACAGCTCATTACCCAAGTGGCCACTGGGAGAAGGACCAGACAGTCAGATTTCTCTCAAAGAAACAATGCAAATGTAAACTTACCCTTCCTGCCGCAGGACTCATTCATAACAGGAGTCTAACCTTCACCCATCACGGTGGGCTCTGTCATGTAGACCATCGTGGACTGGGTGCCCCCTAAAAATAGGGACCACTACCTTGGACCTGTACAGCAGGTTGGAAAGCACCTTGGTCAGCCATGTACTGCACAGGGTTCTGTTACATAGTGTCTAGCGCCATAAGGCTGCATTACAGACAAATGCCCTGAGGATTCTTCTCCTTATCTAGCTAGGCTCGGGTACCATCCATTTTGGCTAACAAATTTTCAAATGGATCCATCTGAAGTCCTTGATTTTTAGCAGGGAAAGGATTCATAGGGCACATCTGCCTCAAGGACCTTCATATTCTTAGAGATGACAGCCGGTATGCAGAAAAGACTGGAAAGAGCACTGGAGCAGCACTTCTTTGAGTTGAAGCAGACTCTAAAGTAGGAAGAGAAGGAGGCAAGAGGGCACTTCTAAGTGCAGTATATCTAGAACTTTATTGTAAATGACGGTTAAAAACACTTACAAGATGTGTGTAAGTTTTAGGTTCATCAGTAAATGTCTTGTGCAGGGCTCCTGTCACTGTGTTCCAAAGCCTGCTGTGCCGTTCATCAGCTGCAGGGGGAGCTAGGGTGTAGTGGCAAGACGGCTGCTGCTCTTACGGGAACGTTGTGGAAAGCATGCTGCCCTCGTGAAGTGCAAGGACCGGAAGTGATGTCAAAGGGAGCAGTGATGCGTTTCGGAGCATATACGCAGATCACACCTTCATCAAGACCCAAGCAGAGCTGTTGCAGATCTCTAAATATGCTCCAAGAGCACATGCGGCATGTCAGTGACCACCTACTTTACAGACACTAGTGAAAAAACTGAAGTACTTCCTGTTTAGGAGGGACTATATAGGAGAGGACTTCGTGTTTGATTGATCTGTCAGTGTCCATTCACCTATAGGTGGCATATAACCCACATAGTCATGAATAGCCTTCTCTGTGTCCTGTGATGTACGATAAAGAAAAATGAAGGGGGAAAAAAAAAAAAAAAAAAAAAAAAAAAACAAAAAAAGTTTTGCTCATAGTTATACTTTAAGAAGACCTCAAAGATATTTCTCTCTATGCTTCTCTCAGCAACGATCTCTTTTATGAACGCACACTACCTGTGTTCAAGACATGTAGCACTGGGCACCAGAAATATACAACGCTTGTATTCTGCATAGGCGAATGTGCCCATGTGCATGAAGCCTTAATAGACACTACTTACACCCCCCAATAAAAAAAACACTGAAAGTTCAGACATGCTGTGACTTCTGCTTAGTTCTGGGGGGGGGGAAGCAGAAATTCCTCTTCCACCATAATAGCCAGGCAATGACTTGTGTATGAATCAATGACAAATGGTCCACTCTTAGTTATGCAAGTGCAGATTGGCTGGTCTCCAGTGCCAAACTGAAAGGTTCAGCCAGTGTCAAACAAAGAAAGAGACTCATACAAGCATTTTCCATTAACTTTACATCTAGAAACATAAGTAAATTAATATTCAATGTCTTTTACTGGCCTATTCATGCAAAATGTATAACTATAAGCCTAAATCATTCACGTTATTTCTGTTTTAATCCAATGAAAGGCCTCGTTTAAAAACTAAATCTGTTAAATAACCATCTATGTACTTTTTGCTGAGGTATATTTGATCAAGCTAAAGATATCCCCGTCTTAAACACACTTGTTTCTTAAATCAATACTAATTAGATTCTTTCAACTATTTACAGAGAACTTCAGATCATAACAAATAACATGATTGCATTCACTGTCTGCCTAATGCAAAGTGAAACTGTTCACACAAAAGGCCACTATGGCTAATCTACAATATTCCATTTTATTAAGAATAGGAAGCCAACCAAGTGTACTTTTCATCCACAAAACCAGATTAAATCCACTGGTTTTCTTTTTCATTTTTAAACTTTAAGGAAATCGAGATATCCTTGTGTACTTGGATTTTGTTTGTGCAAATAAGTACATAAGTTTATTCTATGGACATTAGGAGAAAACACCAGCAATACAATTTCTGTATTTCTTTCCCCAAAAACAGGAAAAAAAAAAAAAAAAAAAAAAAGGACTTCAAAACACCAGCAATTTAAAATTAGTGTTGAACAAAAGATAAAAAATGAAATAAAGGATTTTCTAAAACTAGCTTCATGTCCAAAAACAAAATGGGCACAACAAAGAAAAAGTACAAAGCTGAAATGTAAAGATTCTGAATGCTAGAACGCATCCAGAGACTTGCACAACAACTGCAAAACAAAACAATCTGGGTGTACATAAAAAGGATAAAATTTAATTTTAAGCTGCACTATATGCAGATATAAAATATTACTGAATCCAGGTACAGTGCCCAGAAAAAAGTATTCATACCCCTTGAAATTTTCCCTCTTTTTGTGGCAAACTCAAAATTTTGAATTCACCTTTACAATAATTTATGATGAAATTGGTAATCAGGACATCTGGTGAGGGTGAATGTCCCTAAAGGTGACACAGAAAGCATTAAAAATCTGACGGTGGTTCTTAAAGCAGTATTAAACCCAAAAGCAAACTTTTATTATATTGCAGCTTACCAATTCTTACATGTGATGGCTGCATTAGTTTTCTTTTTATGCTCTCTCCATTATTTTGACCGGGTGATCTGGTCAGTAAGTCTGTTTAACAGAACAAGCTCTTCTGCAAACGTAGCAGTCACGAGTTTTGAGACAAACCATTTAACATTGACATGGGTGCTTACAATGATCAGCTTTTGTTTATGTAAAACCTTTATCCTAAAATGAAAAAAAAAAATATGTTGCTGTAACTGCAGCGTTTGCTAGAGTCTGCTCTCAATGTGTTAATGTATCTAAATCGGCTAGTACATCTAACACTACCGTCCCTCCAGATTGACAATGCTGCTGTCTAAAGATACCCCCTGTGCGCCTTCATCAAAGTGGGGGCACTCTGTTACAGGAGGTGTGTTACTGGCCAGATGACCAGGTAAAATCAGAGGAAAAAAAAAAAAACTAATGCATCTAAGGGTTCACAAGCTGCAATATATTACATTTTTTGTTTTAATACTGCTTTATTCTTCACCATTCTGTCAAAATCTAAAAAAACTGTTTTGCCTCTACTTATATTCAAAATATTATATACAGTCAATATAAGCTCCTGATTTAATGTTCTGTATTTATAATTAATAGTTTCCTGTAGGCCCATGATCATCAGTACACTTGGAGAAGTATGGAAAGCACCCTGGACTTGATCACATTGTTAAGCTTAGCTACAAAGGAGGTAAAGGATCTGCTACATTGTCTGTCAGGGGTGTCTAGCTGAAACAGAATAACAATGTTTTGGCAGGTACCACACAGTTTACTTATTTCTATCTGGGCTGCATGCCTGGAGATCTGCTTTACACTATGACATGCCTGTGGCTCCAGGATATGATCAGTTTAGATGGCCATCTAAAAATAGATAACCTTCTTAGGTTATCAGTCTAGTTTTTTATCTTTCTGAACTTTAAGATCTAGATTTCACATTTAAATTGGAATGGGCTTTGATAAATATAAACAAGACCCGACAGAGTAAAAAACAGAATGGTCTTGCATTAGGCAACTTGCCTACAACAGGATTTTCTTTACTTGGCAATTTTGATAAATTCCATGTTCATTGCTATGAAAAAAAAGCGGAAGTGGCAAGATGCGGCAGTGCCAAGTGATCTGGAGCGTTCAGCCTTTGTATTTCTGCACCATGCAAGACCCCACCTTATAATGAAATTGCCTTAAAATGTTGCATGTACTAGGTCTTATGGATTAAGATATTGAAATAGATACACACATGCACACTTTCCTTTTTCTACACAGGAATCAAACTCTAGTGCAAATTCTTTGTCTGTAAAGACCCAATCTGCATCCATAAAAAGCCATGAGGTTAATGACAGTCTACTTTTGAAGCTGATCCAAACCAGCTAAGTAAATGTCTTACCCTGATAAGGTGTGGCTTCGATGATTCCTTCTTTACTGCCATCAAATACATGTGTGATTCGAGTTTCGGAAAGGCCAAGTCCTGCTGGCACTGTTCGTTTTAGTTCCTTTAAAGAATAAAAGTAAAAAGTAAAAATGTTGACAAGGACAGTATATGGAGTATTTATATATTAGGGGGAGTGTGTGAAACAAAAGATGCTAAAACACATCTAAACTTTAGCTTCTCAAAAAGGATTTTCAAATATGCCCCCACCATCAGACAACATCATGAGTACCACAGTCACAAAACAATCAGCCATAATAAGGAAAATTATCGCTTTCTTTCAATTATTAATTAAAAACAGTTAAAACACACCCCAAAAAATTCAATAACTTCATCTTTTTAAAGCATTTGCACTTGTCTTCATAAAGCATTTGCACTTATCTTCAATGTTTTATAGTTGCAGACGCAATTTTAGCCCTCATTAACAGTGATACAGAACACACTAATGAATCTATCCTAAAAAGAACAGTATGGCATAGTATGCTATGGAAATAGTGTGTTTTATTCCATACTTAGATTTCTATGATAAATATACCAGTAAGCAGAGATTTCAATTACAAAGGCCATGCTGATATGACACACCATGTGCTATGTATGCAATAATAACAATAGTAACAACAACAACAACAATAACACTTTAAAAGCATTTTTAAGCAAGCAAGGACAGCAGACTGAAAGGCTCATTAGTCAAAACCAATCATAAAACAAAATGGTTAAGACTGCTATGCTTTATACTGTGTATAGCCGATGTATGCAGTGCTTTGTGCTCCATAACAATACAAAACACTTTCAATTACAAACAAGTCAGCTAAACAGCTTTCATATAATTAAATTACACGTATGCCTAGATTTATGAGATTAGAGAATGGATATTCAGCATTCTTCCATCCAGTTTTTTTTTTTTATTTTGCAACACCTCATCATGAGCAGGTGTGGTAGAACAATAGAATGTCAATAGCTGCATCCACATGAAAAATCAGACAGGAACTTGGGAAGACAAAGTGATTCTTTCTAAAGCAAGAAAACGCAACATGGCATACAGGGTGGTTCATAAGACACGTTCACCACTAATGCAACTGGAGTATACTGTACTCTAACGGAATATATAAGAATATAAGCATATAAGAATGCAAAGTAAGGCAGCCCACAGTCATTTTTGTGTTCAACCAACAGTTGAATGAAGAAAAAAAAAAAAAGCTGACCCGATTCCCCCATCCAACCATTCAAGGTGAATGGGGAAATACTCCAGATGAACTACTGTATTCTGACAGAGTGTGCCCCAGGAAGACGTCTCTTAAGACAAAACATTAGTAGGGCGGAGACCGATATTGACATCTTGAAAGGGGGAAATAGTCTGATCCAGCCATCCATTTGGGAGTTGTGCTATAGCGATTTATGACCTCTGTGTATGTGGTGACTATTGCTCGGGTAAGCAGTTCTGCGTGAGGTGGAGGAGCATTGAGATCTCACAAACCTGAACCATGATTTTTTTTTTTTTTTTTTTTTTTTTTTTTTTTTACACGTGGGTTAACGTTGTTCTATCAGTAATGAATACTGAGCACTGTGATGCATATTGACAGGATATTACAATGCGTTTGTATCAGTAGACATATTGTCACACGATATGTGGGCATGTATGTATATCTGTTGACTTAGACACCACAACACATTTCTGATGACAGTGTGAGTTGGCCCTTACACTTGGTGGAACACTGTTCTGCTCAGTTTTTGACTCCTGTCCTTTATGAGGCAAGAAATAATCTTCTTTTACAGGAGATATTCAATATGTCCATTAGAGAGAATCTCATGTTCACCAATCTCCTTCTCTTTCATACAAGGGAGGCATTAGTTGTCGCGAAAGTGCGCACCAGAGGCAGGCACGGCCCTCCATTTTGTTAGGGGTTCTCCATGTTCTCCCCTCATTCCCCCCCCCCCCCGCCCCTCTCTGAGAGGCACAGTGACATTTGACCAGTGTGTGCGTGTGTGTTAGGAGTGTCACAGGAGGCCAGAGCCCAGCAGGGGGATAGGAGCTATAAAACCCACAAGGGAGCTGGGGCCTCGCTGTCCAAAGAACCTGTGCAATTTAACACCTCATAAAAAGGTAACACAGCCTTCCCAGGAGTTCAAAAGACATTTCAAGGAAGCAGGACCAGATAACCTTTTTAAAAATCCGTTTTTCCCCTATGTCTCATATCTTGGAATATGAGAGACTTACATAAAAACCAGGCATATCATCAGATTGGCCAAGAGGAGATGAACAGTTTGATAGGTCACTGTCCTTGTCTCGAATACATAGGAAAGCAGAAAAGTAGATCTCGTAAACCATTCAGTGTATAATTTCATAATTCATATCTAATCAATCCTCAGATGTGTCTGCATAATAATCTACCCGCAGGTGGAGTGTCACTTGTGCCTATGAAGAGTTATGAGCCAAAATATGAACTATATGAGATTTTGGCTCTAGTTTAGGTCTACACCCAGACCTTCCCACCCTAAACGGGGTATTGGTCCTTGACTTCAGAGACAGCCCCTGCTGGCAACTACAAATTGGGTGTCAGGCCTAAGAAGAGTAAGTTGAAGAAGTCTCCCATTTTAACATCAGAACCACCTGGGGAGACCCGTACCCTTTCGCTCTGAAACTTGATCTGCAAACCCAAGGCTGATTGGCAAGTACTTTAACCCTTTAACCTCCTTCTGTTACCTCTTTGCTGTGCTGTTCTCTGTATATTTTATATATATATATTGGTTACATCTTTTTTCTGTAAATATTTTTATTGCACCCTTTTTGACCTTTTAGTAATAAATCTTTCCTTCTGAAAGTGTTGAACTGTTTCTATAGCTCTTAATTGTAATTTACGAATTCCTGCCTCTAAAAAGAGCGCTACTGTGTTTGTTTAACCCCTGTATAACTGGCCTGCGGTGACCGTGTTATACAGACAATTATCTCAAGCATTATAGTGTTATAGCTGAAATTGCCGAGTTTCCTCTTTCTCTGTACAAAAAGGAGGTGGTGGCAGTGTGAAGGGTTAATTGTGCAATTAACCTGACCCAGTAACAATCGCTCCGGCTGCCGCTACATAGATGGTGGTCCAATTAGCTGGAAAATCATTGTGCAGGGTGCAGCTGGGTGTGGCATTGTTCCGCACGTGACATTGCGGTTTCAGACTGGCTAGTCCTTCGGTCACGAGTTTGGTGAGAAGGTCAGGGGTCTGACGCCACGTTCGTCACATATTGGTGACAGCGATCATGGGATCATCACATATTGGTGGCAGTGATCTTGTGTCCGTCACATTAGTGATTTTAAGACCCCTGATACCACCCATAAAGTGGAATGGTCAGTACCTTTATATACCAGATGGCAGAAATCATCTATCTGCTGACTGTAATAAAGTAAAGACCTGATAAAGTACATATAAACCCTAATAAGAGAACATTTTGTTTGCTTAAAGAAGCCATGTTTCTTCAAATGATACGGCCTACACCTTATTTAGGAAAAGTGCCACTAATCTTCTGCTTATTCCAGCCACTTCCTGTCTACATGTACTTCACATAGCCAGGGCCACCTCCTCAGCAAAAAATAGTCGACTCATGTAAATCCAGTCAGTTTCAGCATGGCTGCTTATCACCTTAACTGGGTGTGCATACAGCAGGTGGCACCACAGATCTCAACCAGGGGTGCACGCAACAGGGTGGCAGCACAGAAACACAACAGGTTACCTCACAGTGCCTGAGCAAAGGCCTTCACTGGTAAGATAACCAGAAATTCTTTTGATGAAAGCCATATCATTACAAGGATAAAAACAAGTGTTAAACTATTTTTATTTTTTGGCTACAATAATGACAGGTTAAAAACACTGTCAGTTACATTTCTGCTGTCTGTGTCCTGATGGGGCAATATGCCTTCACATCCTGTTTCCGAGGACCAACAGGAAACAAGAAGAAATCACAATCCTCCCTTGACTGTTGTCACAATACCAGGTGGTTCCCACAGGAAGATTTCTCCTTACCTATTGTGCTGACAACTCTTTGGGGTCAATTCCACAATGTTTATTGCATGCAACATTAGTTTAACCTATACATTAATTATTACATGTGATAACTTAAGAGGCAATTAATTAATCAAAAAAAATAAAATAAAATCTGACAAATCTTGGCAGAAATTTGATGGCAAAAAAAAAAAAAAAAAAAAAAAAGGATGGTTGAGCTGCAGTTTTACCATCCTTTGAATGCCCCCCTTAACCTAACAGAGGCAGTAAAGAGATGTACACATGCCAGGGCAACCAGAAGTGCATACATCTCCCTGCTTCATTCAATCTCTAGATTTGTCCTTTTTGGATCTTAACTGCTGCTTTATTGTTCTTTCACCAATCATCAGATCACCTGTAATAAGTGGGCAGCTATGAAACGAGGAAGAAAAAATCCTGTGTCTACCAAGATAGCCACTTCCACACAGAGACACAGGCACAGAAGGTCAGTAGTGGAAAAAAAAATCACCTGCAGACAGCCTACGTACATGGTAAACAGTTCTTTGCCCTCTGCTTGCCGTTTTAGGCTCCATGCACACTAGCATTTTTTTCTAAAGTGTTACTAAACCCAAGACCCTGCATTCACTATATCTGGTCTCCCACAGTACACAGAACAGGGAAGTGCAATTACGTTCATAAATATAAACGGCTAAATACCTTTTCTCATCAGCAGTTAGAGAAGTCTTGTGACTTCAGCTGAGCACTGGTTAACCACTTCAAGTCTGGACACTTTTCCCCCCTTCCTGTCCAGGCCCATTTTCAGCGATATCACACTTTGAATGACAATTGCACGGTCATGCAACATTGTACCCGATGTTGCATGTACCATATGTACCCGAATTTTTTTAGCATTTTTTTGAGGCAGATAAAGCTTTATTTTGGTGGTATTTATTCACCACTGGGATTTTTGTTTTGCTATATAAATGAAAATGTACAAAAATGTTGGGGGAAAAAAAAAAGTGTTTTTCTTATAAAATTTTGCAAATAAATAATATTTCATCATAAATCTTGGCCAAAATTTATTCAATTATCTTTTTAGTAA